GCAGCAAGAGCACAGACAGACATACCCCGGAGCGCCTGGCGTCAGGAAATACTTGAATGCTCCCTGTTTTTTTTTATCAAACACCAGATAAAACCATGTGGAATCTTTCTCTCCGTGGCGTTGCCAAACACAAGGTATACAATAGTACGGTCCGTGCCTAGGAGGTACAGACTCGGTGGAATTTGACATCATAAATAAAGGCACGAAAGGCGTGCATGACTCCATGGGCCTGGAAAGGAGCCTGAAGGTCCGCCACTACGGTAACACCTTTGCATTCGCAGTGGGGCTTCGGCTTATACATGGATTGATAGAGCGTGATTTGGTCTCATCGGTAGTTCCTGGTCAAGCGTGCGGGTGATTATGTTAGAAAGAGAGCCATGTTGACGCTCCAGTCCGAAAGAGCTTTTGGAATCTCTGCGCATCAATTCATCCGGTTCAGCTTGCCCCTGGGGCGATGTCTGCAAGGCATGGCAGTCAATTAAGGGTCCAAGGTTGCTTCATGCTAAAATGTCCCGACAAGCTATTAACGGTTCAGGATATTCTCATAACTTTCTGGCTTATATGGTACCTTTCCCGAGGCCGGACTTAATGCCCTTGCTTCTTTCCACCTCTGTCATAACAACCAATATGTATCCTGCGCCCATCAATATTGCACGCTCATAAAGAGATTTGATCGAAGGATAACGGAAAGCAGTCTTTACTTCATCTTCATGTTGATGTCGTCTTCTACCAGCGAGTCCTCGAGCTCTGCTGTCGTCTTAACAGGGCCTGCTTTGTTGAAGAAGGGGTGGCATAGACAGTCATTGAATGTGTTTGCTGTTCCACTCCGGGCTTCAGAAAGAAGTTCCAGACGTCGTCTTCCTTTGGAATCAATGGATAAGAGGCAATATTCTCTCAATGGGAGCCTTGCCCAGCAATATCATTGTGGTGATTATGAGATTAGCAGTGTTTTTGTTGGCCTGGAATATGTTTTCTTGTTCTTCTTGTTTAGGGCCCCCGGTGTCTATGTAGTCTAGTATATGCCGAGTGTCCCGACTCAAGTCCACCGCACTCCTTTCTCATGTGCAAATAGGCACTGCCATGCTTTGCGGAAGGCATCGGCTCTTTCAATATTATTACTTCGGTCCGGGCAGGTATACGGCGCGAGTGCCAGATGTTCCATTGCCCGCAGTTAACGGGCCTTAGCCGATCCCAGAGCTGTACTGGAATATTGAATGTTCAACCCTGCTCGGTCGTCCAGTCAAGGCAAAATAACCATAAGGCTGTTTAAAGAACAAAGACATCAATATTGGCCTTTCGCTGCTCGTTCTGAGTATCACGAACCATGTTTTGATAACAGGGCTGGCTTTCATAATAAAGAGGTTCTGCAGAGGATTTGGGCCTCCCTATACCAAAAAGAATAGTCGAACCGCCCACGCAGCATTTTCTTCTTCATTTGGTGGGTGATACGCCTCTCGGCCACTAGGTCGACATGGCCTGGTAGATTAATACACTGTGATATATAGAGAAGCTCCATTTAATAATAGATTAAAATAGATATTTTAAGTCGATAACAAATGACCACGGGCATCTTCGCTCCCAGGAAATCCAAGTTACCAAGCACGGTCTGGAGTAAAGCACCTTTAATGACTTTATTATATCTCAAAGCAACTCTGTTGTTATCGGGGTAATGTTCATTTTAATACTCAGCGGAATAAAATCACTTGATATTAGTTCATGGCCCGGTCCCTTAAGATCCTGGAACATCTGCAGTTGCTTATCTGTAGACGCATGCTGTATTATGCAAACAAGCAGGTGCCCAAGCTGCTCCAGATGGCCTAGAATTAGAGTCTTCAGCTAGTGCCTCGGTGCTTCGAAGCGTGCCCTACCAGGTGCCGCACACTGAGCTTCCACTGTGGACGCACTGACATGGAGCGGATGTAGAATGCGGGTCTGTGTGGCATCCTAACTGTTATATGTAAGCCCTTGGATTGCCCATGGCGGCGGTTGGATCATATCCACGTAGTGCTTTAGCCTTGATTGTTAATTTCGCGCAGGAATTAGGCAGATGTGTCTCTACAAAAGGAGTGAGCACCCGATGTTAAGTAGAAGACAGACGCGAAGTTGTCCAGCTTATTATATCCATGGATACAGATACAAAGCTTTTCCGGAGATATCTGTTGCGTCCCATGTGTTCCAAGGTCCGTATTCCTGTGAGATAAGGATGCCATTGCTATGAACTGGCTTGCCCTTGAATTTATACTATGCTTTCCTTCTGCTTCAGTGTCTCCGGTAAGAGAGAATTCATGCAAGCGACACTAGAAGAAGACCTGCCTGTAACGGCCTCCGCCTAAGCGCTGGATGTACTGCTTGGCCGTTGGAATTCGCTGCTTCAAGATAACTGGACCCCTTCGGCGCTGTTCTTGGCCGCGAATTGTATAATAGATATCCTATTTATGTTACTGGGCTGTAGACAGCAGGCAATGGTTCTGGATGGAGGAGGGATGTCATCTAAAGTTCACCATGACTTTTATTGTGCAGTTTCCAGTTAAATGCTACAGACTTGTATGCTTAGACTGAACCTGTTGTTTGGAGATGGTTTAAATCGAGAAAGACCATTTCCGACACATGTACTTGTCGAGCATTTTTCAATGCGGTCCAAGCGGTGGGGATCAATTCCCTGGTCAGACCCCGGGGCCCCCTTGATAGGGCCCGCGTCTTGCGGCGGCATATAGGTAATCCAGTCAACCTGCCAGGTATTTAGGGTTGGCGAGTTTCTTCACAGGTATAGCTTCTGTGTTAGTAAGCGCCCGGATAATCAGAATTCGCAGCCTGAATCAGCTACCTGGCATGGGATCTGATTGGAATTCCTGCGTCCAGGATACCAGTTGTACCATCTATCGCAAGATATTTGTATTTTGTTCTCGACAGCGCAGACGAAAACCCTCGAACTAATGCATCGACCAGGGCACCATGCAGTACCCGTGACCCTTCTGTTACTGACACATCATCTCCATGCCCATGATAGGGTGGTTAGCTAGAGCCCAAGACCAAAGCCCCGAAAAATCGTCGCCGTGACGGAAAGAATTAATCCCAAGTCATCGTTCCTGCAGAATAAAGGCCTGATTTGCGACCCGGGGAGCTGAAGAGGCAACCAGACCGGAGAACTGGGTAAATGGGGACGAGGATGTTATCAAGGCGTGATCGGATTTCTGCTTCATTCCGCTTCCGATTACGGAAGAGAAGATCGTACATGTACCATAGTCGGCCAGCCTCTTCTCAGGGGCGTTGAGTTGGATACTAGTTGTGAACGGACAGGAGTTACAGACAGGACAGGATAGGAACTTACTGCCATACTGCATGCGTGCTCGGGGAGCTGGCGCTCCTCCTCCAGACGGACCTCCCTGATATTGACGGGTCTCCCTGCGTCGTCTTGTAGGCCGAAGATCGCATGGACTTCGCCGGGGTTAAGCCTTCAACAAGGCTGCGAACGTACGCCGCCGAACAACATAATGTGGGTTTAGTCATCGGGTTAATTTGGTTGATTTTCTGTACTTAAGTGCTCGGACTCCGTGCTGCCCATTACGGAGAAGGGGCTTCAGCTCCGGGCTGTTCCCTTGGTACTCAACGATCCCCTTTATTATGGCTGTGAGTTCGGATTGTACTCCCATGATCGCATGGCAATTGGCCTTACGGCAGTGCTACTAAGCAACCGAGGTGTCATCTAGAATCGCTGGTGTTTCCGCTGGGTATGTAGGGCCAAGGTAGTACATGGATCTTGCCTATATATCGGGCACTGGAGAAGCATGACCATAACACAGTGGACTTGGGCCCACGGGCCGTGCATGTACAGGTTAAAGTGTTCACGAGCAAAACACACCCGAGACATCGTAAACCTTAACATACGTATTCCAGACAGTACCCAGTCTCACACGTGGATAATGTTAGGGCACAGTGGACGCTGATGGGACTTGAACATTATCCTTATTGTTAAATGGATCCGTTCCGCGACACATCCGTACCTATCAACCCTCGGGTCTCCAATATAGTCACGAGTAACTTCCGAGATTCTGGTGTTGGTGTGTCTAGCAAGAGCTGCCGCGGCGCCCAGACTGACACCGACCGGTGCCTCAAAGGGCATTATCCTGATCTTTGACTATAAGATAATGGTGCGCTACAACTGGAGCTGGTCCTTGTAGACCTCTAGAATTCCTTGGTAAATATAAAATGCCAGTAGTTTCTTGCTGCTTAGGAAAGAGAGCAGAGATCCGTTGTTCCTTAGCCAAGGCCGAGGCCAAGGTTTGAGTAATGTTTTATTGATTTAACTCAGAGCGCGTAGTATGGATAGTTCGACCCCAGTGGCCACAGGTACTAGAACCCTTCCCGTGTAGCGCCGACCAAAGAGCAGTCTGCTCCCACAGAGGGCGAGGAATCAGATGTACCTGCCGCAGAAGCTGTCCAGGTGACACAAAGGTCGGATGGCACCGGCGTTGCCTTGCAGCTTGGGGCCTAGGCGGGATATCAAATTATTTATATACCCATGGTAAGTGTGAGCGGACGTCCTTTAAGAATTCTTGATAGTGTAGGCAAAGTGCAACGATCTTCGTAGGCCCAGCATTTATTCCGCCGCACAAAACATAGTAATTGCGATTATAACATCATGGTCGCAACCGTTTGTCCAGATTTAGAACACTGGTCCCACTTGCATTCTGGTCGCTTTCGTAGGTATTGCCGCCTTGATTCAAATCATATGGGAAGTTCCAGCCTCGAGCGCTGCCTAACGTATATTTCGTCACAAGGTAGACCTACGTCCACTGTCTGATAGACAAACCCCTTGGGGAGCCAACCAGTAAACATAAGGGTCCCATGGAGCTTCGACTAACAACATTTCCCTGAGCTATCGTCTTAATAGCGGACAACAGTTGGCAGACCCTGAGGGTCCTCCATCGATTCATCCCACTTCTTAGGATCCGCGGGTTTCTCTATTGCCCCTAGTTCCGTCAAACCACGGCGGCTCACCATCACGCGTCCCAATACGTAGCAATCTCACGCAAGTCCGCCAGCAACGCGGGCGGGTTATCCAGACCAGGGAAATGGCCGCCCGACTCGTGGTCTACCAAGCCATATCGCCCGTTAGCAATAATGCCACTTCTCACATATCTCGAAGGATCAAGGAAAGAAAGATCAGGTAGGACTCACTGTGATAAAGCACCAGGTTCCCAACCTTGGCAACAAGTGCCTCCGGCCAAAAGCCAACATTATACTTGAACGCGCTGAAGAGCAAGGGCGCATCCGTATGCGCTTTGGTGTACTCCGTAGCGAAGCCATTGGGGTTTTGGGCATATGTTAGTACGGAAGAGGCGAAGGAGCCGGTTAGGTAGTATAGTGAAATGCTTCGCAGGATCTCGTTGTGTGTGAGTTCTGATGGTGCTTGCCCGGCGTTGGGGTCGGACCCTACAGGTACGTAGACTCTGTTAGTTTCACTTGATGGGTGAAAGAGAGGGTAAGGGTACGCTTACAGTTGAGAAACTTCTCGCCGATCCAAGCAAGCTGCCCGACGGGGTTATCGTGGAGTGCGAGGCCGATTGTGTTTGGCTGCCATGCGTTAGGTCGCCTTGACACCAAGCACGGTGGCAAGACATGCATACCTTCGTAGTTTGTTCCACGAAATAGCCCTCCCCGGTGTTTGTCCACTCCTCAGCGAGTTCCTGTTCAAACCTCTCAAGCTCTGTGTCAAGGGTTATATTAGCCGCAGCGAGCTGATCCGAATTCCAGGGGTAGAACGGGAGGAAAGCCAGGTGCGCCGCGCGGACAGTGGAGTTGAATTGGTCGTAGAGGGCGTATGCGATGCCGCCGCCCCAATCCGTGCCGAACGTCGCGTAGGTATCGTAGCCCAGGACATCAGTTAGTAGTGTGTTGAATACGCGCGCTGTGTCGGCGAGGGTCCAGTCCACGGGAGGGACGGAGGAGAAGGCGTAGCCTGGGAGAGAGGGCACGATCACGTCGAAAGACACGCTCTTCCCGGCTGCTGTGGAGGCTCTCTGTGTGAGGTTCTGGATTATAGGCGCGAACTCGAGGAATGAGCCGGGCCAGCCGTGGAGGAGGAGAAGGGGGATCGCGTCAGTGGCGTTGCTTTTTTGGTATATGAAGTGGATGTCCAACCCTTCGATTTCGGCTGTGTAGTGATTGAATCTGGAGTGTGTTTAGTACTGAAATCCATACGCAGTGATGCTGTGACAAACTTGTTCAGGTCGCGTTGCTCCCGCCCCCAGTTGAACGTTGTTAACCATTGGTTTCTCAATGATTTCAGGATTTTCAGGCCAATTCCCTTTGCGGTCCCCTCGTCGACGTACAGAGGGCGATCCGGCAACTTCGTCCGGTGAATTTGATCCAGCATTCGGGGGACCTTGGACGAGAGGTCGATGTGGAATGGCTTCAACTCATTGTTGCTTGCAGTAGGGCTTGCCTGACTAGCCTGAAGCAATCCTTGCAAAGCAAGGAGCATGGAAGAGAGCCTCATGTTTTTGGCCTCTTTTATCTTGTTTCCCGTTGTATTGTTGGGACCCTGAGGACCTTGAAAGGAACCCTGCGGCTCTATTTATACGGCGAACAACCCCAGAAGCGGGGTCGGTGGTGATTAGCAATCAATGACCAAGTAGCTTGCTCATCGAAAAAGCAAACTCGTCGTTGCTCTGCATCATCATTGTCCAATACAAGGATGTTCCTGGAGTCAGGCTGCATACAGCTGAATAAGGGGAAATAAGCACTAGAGAGCTTAGCGCAGGCTCGATGCTCCAGCTACTCCAACGCCACGCTCGATAGGGAATCCAAGCAAACGCCTTAAACTCTGCAAACACGTTTTTCAAGCTTTTTGGTGGTTGGTAAGCAAACCCTAAGGGTGGTCAAGGACAGCTGACTTCAATAAAAGACCCGAGACGATCGGCAAACACCCCCTCTCCGATCTCGTTGGCGTTCGCTTTCTCCATCGATGTCCTCGAGACCTCACGATACGGCCACTGATCCAACTCTGAAGACCCGTTGCCCTGCCAATCTCGTGGACGAGTCTTGACCGGACCATGTCTTCCCAGCCTCTCAGGGTAGGATGATTTGGGATGCGGATGGGCACGTCTATCTTGAAACTTGAAGGCAGATAGTATAGCCACTGTATGAACCCCTCCTGCTGTTCCCAACTTAGGTTACTGGAACATGGCTTCGTGACAGAGGGGTATCTGGCTAGGGTCGATGTTCATCGTGAAAGCGTCAAGGAACAGGCAAACAGAAGGTACTCCGTATAATACCAGAGACTTCCTATGGTAGGCGAACCGTGTTCGCATGCTGTATCTTTTGCATTTGTTAGTTTGAGTTCGCCGCTAAAAGGTAATGCAAGCTTACCGGAGTTGTCTGTTGATTCAACCTGAGGACGTGGAATTTCATCGAGCTCGGCCAGATGAGACATTAGGTCTATAAGATTCCACAAGATATTACATGCTACTTTACCAAGGATCTGCTCACGCAGATCTGCCATGATTTCTTCCTTTGATTGTGGAGTACGACGCTGTTGGGGTATCTTCAGGAGGCGAGTCGAGGCTTCTGTCAAGAGGTTGGGCCTTGAATTGCCGAATGGCGACTCGATATCTACACTACCAGCTTTGAATACTGGGTTGTCGGCTGAAGATGCGCCCCAAACAAGTTGCTGGGGAAATAGGCTGTGTGTAGACCTCAGCAGTCATTACAATCTTGTACGCACGGCACGCGGCAGCAAGTCCGTGGTTCTGACTGTTGCTGTTGCCTGTAGTCCTTCTTCCACTTGACAAAGAACCGCAAATCTGTTGGAAGGAACAGAATAGTCGGATATTTACTACCTTCCCGGCACAAGGGACAATCTGCTTCGCGCCCTCGGCCAGTCAGGGCTTTACCCGCACCGGCCAGGGCCCAAATCTGAAAGTTAAGCTCTACTTCTCCCGGGTTTGTGCACTTGCTTGGTAGGTTTTGAGGTTGCCCTTGGTGCGATAGTATCGATTTCCATCGAGCCGACCGGGAAGGTGTTTGCCTGGGTGGACCTTTTCAATGTGTACCATGCGATAGTCGCTGAGGCTGACAGTAGACCAATTCACATTGTTGTAACAGATCTTCCAAGCCTGCCCTAACTCCATGCCCAAGGTAGGTAGCTGCGAGTGGAGCCCTGTAAGAAATGTCCATAAAGACACGCAAAGTATTTTCAATCCCGTGTTAATCGCGGGTGGCTTGAGGAATATGTCTGCTCGTGGGTGTGGGCTGGTTCAATATATCATTCTTGAGCCAGTTCATAACTATAGTGCAATACAGCATCCGCACTTGCTGTCCTCATACTGTTCGTGGTGGCACAGAGCCTATCGAGGCAGAAAGACGGAACCATCAGATTTCCGTTTACTTGCGTTCCTTGCCTTTAACCTTGCCCTCGCTCTTCCCCTCGCCCTCGGGTGCTTGACCACTCTTACGCTTCTTTTTTGCGCTGGGGACACTGAACTTCCTAGGCTCTTCTAGCACTTGTTCGGGAGCTGCTCCTTTATGCGGAAATAGGTCTCCAGGTCCTGTTTGGAGATATTGCATATTGCTCATGGCAAGGGCGTGGGGCTTCTCTTCAGGCTCCTAAAGTATCTTAAGCAGCTTCGTAATGTCAGGTCATCCAAGTTTAGCCGCCATGCGAGCCATGCGAGCCATGTAGGCCTCTTGGAACTTTGCCAGTTTCTGTGCCTTGGACATGGTCGATGGGCATACGGTGGGAGGTCATTGGACAATCAAGAGTTTACTTATTCAACGACGGAGAATGGTGCCACAGGCGGAAAACAGTGCTATATGTACGATATCCAAAGTTCCTGCCTGGAAACATTTATCATGTTCCTTGTTACATGCTCTGGCCCACACCTCATCCACCAGCGGGTGGTTTGCAAAGTGCGGATGCCGGTGCCTAACATATATTTAGGTTTCATGGAAGGAATTGCTTGTCGTCTACTCATTATGCAGGTAGTTGATATATAAGTTGATCTTATACGCCTTGATGGCGTAAATCTTCCGCGTGAGAAGCCCCGTGAAAATACCATTTGTACGGCTCTTCTTTCCTCTTGCTCCAGGTCTTTTATCTACCATATCTTCCAGATGCTCGAGTTCAGCTTCGTTGTCGGCAACTTACGCTTTGAGGAGCGCCTTTCCACGATTCTAGGTACGCCAACACATGAATCGGTAGGCGATTATAAAGTAATGTGCATTCTAATTTACTAATCGTCAAGTCAAGTTCCGTTCTTGCTAGAAAGTGGCGGGGGACTAACTGGTCGTGGCCTCTTGGGCGACGGCCTATAAAGTGGTGCAGCTATTCGCCTGCGCAGACCGGCAGGGATCATCGAGACAGCCGCCGCTGTGCCCGTGCGTAGCACAATCCTGGAATACATAGCACTCGAGTAGTGTCAAAACTGCTGCACCAGATTGGTTGCAAGTATGCTGCATTTAGGTCGTAGCTGTGACCAAGAATTGACATCAACTGTCTGAATCCAGGCTATCGATTCCGGATCTGGATTTGTCGTGCTGCATCAGGCATTGACGATACAACCTCGATACCTGAACCATTTTCATGCCCCGCCCCAATGTCGAAAGAACCTTGAGATGTCTAGCATGCCTCCCTTGGCCTCGGCTCTCTCTACGGGCGGTGCAAGTGTCTGGTATATTCTGATGCCACCCACATAGTCCGTGGTGGCCGCGATAAATGGGTTAGGGTTGCCTCTGTTTGTGTCGGGTTGAGGGTCCTAATGCCGCCCCGTCCAGCCACCTGTCCATATTGTCATCTGTAGGCAATGTTCACTTCGAACGATTGCTAGGTGGCTCAGGTGAGCATGTTTGGCCTCATGCACAGAAGCACCTTCACTATTGAGGTCGTATGTAACTTTTTGAAGATACCTAATGGCCAGGCTTTGGCTTCCACATAGCTATCTTTACCAGACCCTGCCATCTGACCACTATATCTACAAGCCCCTCTGCGCTTGATCCTTTCGCCCTTTTCCTAAATCTCCAAGGCAATCCTGTGAGGCAAAGACCCCTCCACGAACTGAGGCTCCGGCTCTCCCCAAGAATAAAGGCTCAGCCAGCATCACGAAGTTTTGGAAAAAGGCTACGAGCCGCGAGATTCAGTTGGTCTACGAGCACGTCTGGTTCATTGCCAAGAGGCGCTATTTGTATGCAGCACTCCCGATTTTTTGTTAATGATCAAGTACTGCACGGCGTGGAAAGCTCATCTGAGTAATGCCAGCACATGTGGGGAAAGCTTCTTGTGCACGGAAAGACCTCTATCCTCCAATTACTGCGAACATTTTAGCAACAGGAGCGTTCTGTCCAAGGCGGCGGGTAGCCTGGTCCACCTCACAGGCCTTGAACGGACTGCAGATGCTCTGCGGCTGCGCTGCCTTGATGCCACGACATAACACCTTCGCGCGGAGTTCCCAGCAGTCACGCCTGGGAGCGGGCTTTGTAAACGGTATGTCCAGGTCTGCCGTAGTTGGCAAAGATGTGTTACAGTATATCTAATTTTAATGCACTTCTTTGACATGATCGTCGAGATTCTTATATAATTCATAGAGTTTTGACCTGCCATCAGCGTGACTGCAGCGACTGGTCTCCCAGTTCTGTTTGTTTTCCATGTGTCTGGTCAGGATATCCATTATACCCAGGTATATGGTACCAGTAGCACCAGTGCAACCTTCACCCAGACAAGGCTCGGACAAGGCCATCGTCTTTTAGTTTGTCCAGTTTGTAGCGAGCGTCTTTCACGTTTGAACCATTTTTCTTGTCTTAGTGGCTCGGGGGATCTTTGTAACCATAATTAATAGTACGTTTGGTTGACCTGTTAGTAGTAGTAGTAGTGATATTTAACGCCCTGGGGATTGCTAGGCGTATGCCTAATGTTCCAGACCTCCCTTAGGGTATGGGGGCGTGCCGCCGCTAGGCAAGTAGCTTATTTAAATAAGTTTATATATAAAAAGGCTTTTTATTTTAAAAAATAATTTTTATTAACACCTATAGGCTAGGCGCCTGTTTTTTACTTAGTATTTTAATATATAATTATTAGTAGGTATTATTTATTACACGCTTAAAAGTCTAATTATAATATTTTATAAAATTTAGCTTTTATATAAAAAAATACCCTGGGTAAACTAGTTATATTAAAAAAAGGTATTTAAAAAAATATAATATAAAAAAAAGTATTATTTAATATTAGGCTAAATAATTTTAATATAAAAATTACTAGGGCGCGGGAAGCCCTAGCATAAGTAAATAAATTTATAAAAATTTATAATTTTAAGTAAAAATATAAAGCCCTTAGGCTTTAGTTTATAAAAATATTTTAAGGCCTTAGCCTTAATTATTAATAATATTATAAGGTACTAAAGCTATTATAAAAATTATTACCTAAAGTAATAATAAAAAACTAGGTATTTAAGGCTTTTATTTTTTTTTATAAAAATAAGTAAGCTTAATATTTTTATATTAAAATTATTTATAATATTATTTAAAATTTTTATATAAAAACCTAAGTACTAGTTACTAGTATAAAATAAAGTATTTTAATATTAATTCTAGCCATGTTTTAACTTAATAGGGCTTTAACTTTATAATAAGTTATTACTTATATTAAATAAATAATTTTATAAAAATACTTTTTTATTATTTAACTTAAATAATATAGTATATTTACTTATATAAGCTATATACTTTACTTATTATAAGTTATATTTTTAAAAAGTTAATATTTAAAAATTATGCCTTTGTAAAGGCTACTTTATTAACTAGCTTATTAATTAACTTATTTTTTTTAATATTTATATATTTAGGGGATTATTATAGGCAAATTATGTATTAATTTATAAGCTAATATAATATTTAAAAAACTTAATTTAAAAATAATAAGGGCTGCCCGCGCGTGTATTAAATTATTAAAATATTATTAATATAAAGCTAATAGCAAGGCGCTTTTAAAAGCTTTTTAATTATAGTTTTTAATTTTTAAAATATACTTATAGCTTTAGTATTATATATATAAAATTAAATATTAATTATTAATAATTTTTATACTTAAAAATATTATTTATAGTAAACTATATAGCTATAACTTACGCGGTGTACTTTTTAATATATTTATTTAAAATTATTACTAAAAATTACTATTTTTATTATTAATAATACTTGCTATTATTATTTAAACTTTTTTATAGCTAGCTTCTTGGCCTTGCTACTAGTAAAACTTTTTAGGTATTTTTAAAAATAATAAAAGTATGCTAAAACCAGCCTAAAAGTTTTAAAAAAAAGTACTTTTATTATTTATAGTTTTATTTTAAGTTTTTAATATAAGCTAGCGCCCTAATTATATAAAATTTTTAATAATATTACTTATATTACTAGTAGGTTTTAGTTATTAATTAGCCTTAGCCTTAAAGTAAATTATAATTATGCTTTTTTTAATATTATTATTATAAAGAAAAGCCTAGTATCCCTAAAAAAGGTTATTATAAGTATTATTTAAAAAATTAAAAGTATATTATAAGTAGCTAGTGCTAGGGTTTTTTTAACTATTTTAATATACTAGCCTAGCTAGGTATTAATTTTTAAATTTTATATATATTTTTTAAATTTAATTTTATTATTATATCACGCCTTCGTGCTATATAATAAGCTAAAAATAATATAAGTAATAATTACCTTATAAAAAAAGTTTGCAGGCAAACTATATATTATATATATTAAATTATAAATATACTAGGTTATTACACGGGCTTTAGCTACCTACTTAATAATATACTAATATTAAAAAAGCTATTTATTAAAAAAAATATTTAGCTAATATAACACAGGCTATTTTTAGCCTAGTGCTATAGTAATAAAAATAATTATTAGCTAGTTATTAATTATTAGTAAAAATAATTTATTATATTATTTTTAAATAATATATAATATTTTTAATTTTTTAGGCGTAAAGGCTACCTTATTTTATTTTTCCTAGGCTAGTATACTATAAATATTTTTTATTAAAAGCTTATAATTAATATAAAGAAAGTTACTTATATAGCTAAAATAAAAATTATTTATATAATTAAAGTGCAGGATTAAATCTGCTAATAAAAGTTTAGTAATATATAATAAAAATAGTATTAAAAAAAGGGGCAAGCCTTGTAGTATACTATAGTATATTAAATATATTATTATTATAATAAATTTTAGGCGCACTTTTATACTTTATTTATTAATAAAACTTATAATTAAAATTAAAAGTATATAAAACTAGCCTTGCTTTACTATTTATTAAAGTAAGTATTATAATAAAATAATATTAAAAGTATTTAAAATATTTATAATAATTATAGTAACCTTCTGGTTTTATAAAAGTATTATTTTTATATAATAAGTAAAAAAGGCTATTAAGTTCATAATTAAGTGCTTAAATAAAATATTATATTATTATAAGCTTAATACCTTTTATACTAGCATGGTAAATATAATATAACATGCTATAATTTATTTAAGTTTTTTTTTTTAATATTAAAAGTAGTGTTATAGGGCGCTAGGATTAAAATAAAAATTTATTTTTTTTATTACTTTTTAAAAATATTACTACCTTTACAAGCTTTTATAATAAAAAAAGTATTTTAATTATAGGTAATAATTATATAGCTTATATATAGCCTGCCTAATATATTTTTAGCAGGCCTTTAAAATATAAATAGTTACCTAGTTTATTTTAAAAAAGGTACT